ATACAAATAAGCACACAAAATTTACATACAAAATGATAGGACTCTTTAGGGTCCATCTCAAACCAAAAACATTAATTATTGTGACTTAAAACTTCAAGAATGTCACTGCCGCATTATTCAAAAATCATTTTCCTTTCCTTCCACTTGCTTTTTCTTTACTCAGAACCAACATGTGTTACAGCTCTTAAAGGAAGCTTATAATAATAATAATAATAATAATAATAATAATAATAATAATAATATGAGTTAATTATCTAAAAGTCCTATTTACAAATGTTATAATAACTTAAATCCTATTTTAGATTTTTTGAACTAATAAATTCTATATAGTAAAATTGAGAATATTATCAGTTTTTTCTAATTTTAAAAATTAAGAACATTATTAATTTTGTATAGTAATATTCCAGATAATTTTTCACTAACTGATGAAAAAAAAAAGCATGAGATTAAACATTTTTACCCTTCTACTTATTTGTTTGATTCAACTATCCAATAAAACTGAGAATATTAACAGTTTTTTTCTAGTTTTAAAACTGAGAATATTATAAATTTTTTCATTTTTAAAGTTTTTTTATTATTTTTAATTTTGCACATCAATATTCCGTCATCATGCTCTTTTATAGATACAAAATTTTCAGTTTCCCACAAAAAAATAATTCTGTTTTTTCAAAAAAAAATTTAAAAAAAAACATTTAGTTTTTTTTTGGCACATAATTTTTTTTTAGTTTTTTCAATTTGAAAGTCGATATTTTAAAGTTTTGAAAATCAAAAAAAATGTAAAATCATTATATTCTTTTATAGATAATTATAAATGATAAACAAGCATTATTTGAAGGACAATTTTGATTATTAAAAATTTGATGAGACTTGAAGGTCCAAAAATCTTAATTAGTATTTAATGAAATATAAATTCATAAATTAGAACTTATGGGTAAATATCTCAAATAATATTAATATGGTAATTGGATATTCTAAAACATTATCACAGTTGTCAAATTTGAATTCTAATCCACATCAACCAAATGGAGAGCCCACCTTGCTAAAAGTTGTGATAGTGGATCACACACTACAAGAAAAAGGACATACAGTGACGTTTTTTTGTATGACGTTTTTCAAAAACGTCGTGGAATCTGTCCAGATTTTTCAAATTCCGAAAAAATTAAACTAAACTATCTCTCGTTTTGTGCCCCAGTTATTTCTTTTAAACAGTGGCTCAACTTATAGCGATCCCGGTTATCCCTTTACTGTTCTGTTGTGTTCCGGACTCGGTTCTGTAAAGTTGGTAGTGGTATCCATCTTGTTGCCGTCATTTAATTCCACTTGATTGAGTTTTAGGATGTTTTGAGCAGGGTTGTTACAGGTTGTTTAGGCCTTGGTTTCAATTCCTTGTTGTCCAGTTTTTAGGCGATCCGCTCGAGCGGGGATTGCACACCTCCAGTATTTCGTGTTCCTGCAAAACTTCTGCATATGTGATTTTTACGCTCGAGCAGGTTTGTTTACGCTCGAGCGGTAGCGCTCGAGCGGGTTTGGTGGCGCTCGAGCGGGTAGTACTTTCTGGGTATAAGTTCTGGGAGGGGGAAATCTACGCTCGAGCGGACTGGTTTTCGCGCTCGAGCGGAAGTGCTTTATTCTTGTGTCTTGGCGCTCGAGCGGGCCTTATTGCGCTCGAGCGTGTCCAGATTTTTGTTCTTGGCGCTCGAGCATTGTGTTCTCCGCTCGAGCGGGTCATGCGTATATGAGTTATCCGCTGGGTGATTTTAAATCACTTTTAACTTTCCTTTCTCTCTCCTACTTTTTCTAAAACCCATTTTGAGAGCTCCTCTCTCTAAAACCTTGACTTCTCTCTAGGTATTGATCTAGTAGGAGTGATTTCCTCACCTTTGGCCTTTACAAAAAGGTTGTTGATCGTCGAAGGGCTATCTTTTGATCCGAGAAATTCGTGGTTTGGAGCATTTTCGTTTCCATCATCTTCTTGGTTGGGTGTCATCCTTTGAGGTAGAGATAACCTACTCCTCACTATGGGCTTTGTCTTTAAATTCTAGTATTTTGAGATGTTGGGGTTGGTTTGGTAATTTTGTGAAAGTTTGGGGCTTTTGTGTAAATTTACAAAAGTTGGGGTTTTAGGTATATAGAAACCTAGATGCATGTTTGGCTTGGAAAGTGAAATAATGTTAAACATTAATGAAAATGGACCTAAGGGTTGTAATGTAAATTATGGAAAATGCCCGGTAATTACATTGGTTAATTAATTGCATAATTAAATTATGAGAAATGAGGAAATTAATTTGGAAAGGTATGGATTAAAGGGTTAGTTGGACTTATTTATCGCTCACCTAGTTGAAATGTTGAATTATATACTCCATTTGTTGCATTTATTTTCTGTATAGAAATTAACTGCTTTTGGGCTATCGTGGTGAAGAAGGATGGTCTTGATTGTTGTAAGAAATGCATAATGATTAGGGCAAACTAAACTAATCACTGGACTGTGTCATTGGGTATGACGTTGAAAGAAAGTACATTAAATTTTATTGTTGTGTGTGATGATGTGTATAATTATTGTTATAATGCATTGTGTCGTGTGGAGGAGAATAGGGATGTACTCCACGGTTTAGGGGATGGATAGGGGTGGACTCTAAACCGTGTTGTTAGGGGAGATAGGGATGGACCTCCATGATAGAGCTCATATGCTTAATCTAGTAGTGTTTGACATAGCTCATATGCTTGTCTTTGGAAGTGTGATAGTGCTCTTATGCATATCTATGGAAGTGATGATATAGCTTGTATGCTTATCTGTTGGTGTGTGATATAGCTAGTATGCTTATCTATTATGAAATGAGAAAGGGCTTAATATGAGTTACTGTCTCATATAAGTTGTTTGGCCAGGTTCTAAGCCATGGTTATAAATTGAGAATTGAAAAGAATTGGAAAATGGGTTTTAACATGGACTTGTATGTCATGAAACCGTAAAGTGTGATAAGGGAAAGTATCAGTGTTGGCCATCTATCAACTGCTAATCTTTTAGTCATTGTTCATATTTGGTTTAGTGTATTTCTACTGGGCTGTGGCTCACCCTATATGGGAATATCATTTTTCGGGTACAGGTAGCATGCCACCTCCAAGGACGTAGCTTGGGAGGCTAAAGGCAGGCATACTTTGTTGTTTAGTTTCTTTGATGTATTACATGTGTACTCAAGCCAAGGGCTTAATGTGTAAATGAGTTAGCACTCTTTTGTTGTAACCAAGTGTTAACTTGGAAAGCTGTAAGCCTTTAGGGCATTTGCTTTTGTCGTTAACATGTAATACTTTTTGGTAATGGAACTCTGATGAATAGTAGAATGTGAAGCTTTTATATATCAATGCATGTCTATATTGATGGGTTTACTGTTATTATTTTGAGGGCGTTACACAACTCAAGGCTATGACATTCATCTATTCAGATTGAACAGAGGCATGACTTCAAGAAGAGAGAGTAATCGAGGCATCGGATCTTCGAGGCGTCGGTTCTTCGATCTCCATCAATTCTTCAGTTGTTTGATCTGAAAAATCTTGTTCTACTCGTGATTTGAGAATATATCTCCGTGATTGTTCGAATCCCTATGATCTAAATCGATCTAGGGCTCAAGGTTAGGGTTTTCTGATATAGATTTGCTACATTCACACAAGATCTATAAAATTTCATGGCTAAGACTAACGATTTGGAATTGCTTTCTCTTGATTTAGTTGATTTCTAGCTTTTTTTTGCTTTTGTTGTGTTTTCTTCTTTCATTTTTGTTCCTTTATTTCTAGTCCTTATGTGGAAAACTCTTCTCTTCCATCAGATTGAGCAGCAGCAATGGTGAATCGATTTATCTAGAGTTTCGAGTGCGGTGTTAGTGTCTCTAATCATGTACGGGACAAGCAGGTGGCGTTGGATGTGGATCGTTGGTAACAATGAGTAGAAGCTCAACGATGAAAAGATGCAGATTTGCTCTCTCTAAGATCAGATCTGTTCTCTCTCTCTCTCTCTCTCTCCGATCTGCTAACATGGTAATATCACATCTGCTTTGTCTCTCTTTAGTCCATTATTTTTCCTTTTTTTGGAATCTCATTTGGCATTTCTTGCTTTCTAACTCTCCTAATAATCATTTCGGTGTAGTTCCCATGTAAATTGATAAACTTTCATCTTGGTATGTTCTCCGAGTTTTCTTTTTTTTTCAAGCTGCTACACGTGGGTGGTCCTATTATTGACTACTTGTGCAGATAGCCAAGAAAAGAAAGGCATTTTCTTGATTCATATCTTTAACTATTTTCTCCCTCTGGATATTGATAATATAATAAATTTGTTTGGCTTTGTTGCAATTATATGTTAATTGAATATGAATTGTTGAACTCGTTGGGTATGTTTTTTTTTTCCTTCACTATTTCAAAGAGGAAAAATAAGGGAGGAAAAATAATCTGTTTTAAGTTGTAGATTTATATGCATTAAGATGTTGGGTAATTGTCTAATTGATGATGTTTTATTGATTGGGTAAACAAGTACAATAAGTTTGAAGCCTAAACAAAGCTGTGGGAAGGACAACAACTAAGGAGCCTTTTTGATATGACTCGTGCCCGTATTTATCTTGATTATAAGTTAGTATGATGTTGGTCACTAATAATTTTATTTTATTTTTGCCACTGAACTTGTAGAATCCTATGATGTAGTGGTTGTTGGTGTTAGGCTTGCAAGTATGTATTGTTAGACTTTCTTAGATAGTTGATTGTCCAATTTGTCATAACTGTTTTGATATTTGTAAAATGTAATATTCTCTTCCCGATTGACCAAAAAAAAAAAACACTATAAAATGAAATCACTTGCGCTGCCCAAAATAGGGGCATTCATACAATTTTTATGATTGAAGGATCCAAGTTTAGGGTTTTTCAGTTGAGGGTCAAGTGATGTTGAATGATAATTGAGACGGTGTCCTTATAATTAACCCATCTAGATAATAGAAACATATCTCCTTATGGTTTTTTTATGGTAAATTTGAGAATGAAGTTTTGAGACTTGATCTCTCAACTGCAAGCTGTAAAAATTGCACTCAAATTTGTTTGGCGACTTGTTCTCAAACACTCCATCACTGCCATCTACAAGCAATCCTATAGGATTTGGTCAAACAACTGTAAGTCACTCTTAAAACTCATAATTAAGTTTCTCCGTGTGGCAATGTTTAAGTAGTTGATATTTTAGGGGTGATTGTTGGAACCTAGGTTGCTTGCATGGGCATGACGTATGATGTATTGGATTCAAAAAATTGATAAGTTTTGATATGTGGACATGTTGGTATTTCCAACTAATGTAGTGTCTAAGTACAGTATCTATAAAATGTTTTAGCGCATATTTTTGCACTCCATGTATGCCAATATGCACCATGTGGGAAAAATGGCTTTCCATCTTCATTGATTTTCATTTAAAAATTTCTTAGAAATTATACCGTGTACTTCATAGATGAAAATTGTTAATCTTCATGCAAAGGAAACTTCTTACATGAAGCTGTAGAGTGACACTTGCCTGAACATGTCTGATATTGTTACATTATAATTTATAGGCATCCCATTGTTGTTTGTTCTTAAGAATATGATTTCTTCGTGTTTTAGTTTTTGAGACCTCTATATTCTTTTGTCGATATGGATTTAATTTCTTCTCTTCTTCAGCCCTCACTTTCAACACCTTTCCAGTCTGTTCAACCTGCTCAGACAACAGGTTCTTTTGGGTTTGGCAGCTTTGGTCAAACACAAGCAGGTACTTGGTATATTTAGTCTTTAAGTACCTTTTCTGTAAATCTTCAATATTTTTATGGCCGATTTCCCATTGCCCCCCTTTTTCTTTGGTGCCTTAATATAGCTGGTACAAGTGGTTTTGGAGGCACGCCAAGCATTTTTGGTCAGAGTACTTTTGGACAATCGCACGTTCTTTCCCTTTTCTTTTTTTTTGTGGTCATGGACAATTCCTTTTTTTCATATGCGCACATGACCATCTCAATGACACAGGATGGCTTAGTTTTTTTTATGTGCGCGTTACGTCACAGTTTTATGAGTATTCAACATTATTTCCTTACTTGTCTTTTTGGCCCAGCCCTTGGGTTAGCACTTAAACTGTCATCGTGTGAAATTTTGCTTAATTGTGCATCTATTTCTACTTTTAAGCCTTGTTTTGGTACTTTATGTGACTCTGGTTTGTTTGTAACAGGTCTGTTACTCAGGGCTCTGCAGTTGCACAACCACTTCCTGTTGCAAATCCTTTTGGAACTCTAACTGCAATGCCTCAGATGTCAATTGGTCGTTCAGGGACTGCACCTTCTATTCAATATGGAATTTCTAGCCTGCCAATAAGTATGACTTGTCCTGTCTAACCAGAACTAAAAAAAAAAACAAAACAACAATAACAACAAAACAAAACAAAACAAAAAAAGCCTAGAGGAACTAAAAACTATGAGTAGTTTTAATTTATAATTTATCTCATTTTAAAATAGAAATTATTACACTTCATCGCTTAATTTTGATATCCAGGTGCCATTTTTCACTGATGATGAAGAAACTCCGAGCACACCTAAGGCAGATGCTCTTTTCATTCCCAGGGAGAATCCTAGAGCTCTTGTTATTCGCCCCTTGGAATAGTGGCCTCCAAGAACAAATGTGGATAAATCATCTCCATTGAAGGACACATCTAGTCCAACACATGAGAATGGTGAATTTTTCTTGTATTTTAAATTTGGTGGGCCTGAATGTTCAATCTTTAGGTATGGGAACAATGGAAAATGTGCGAAATTCATTATTGGGGCTGGAACAAAGAATTATTTTGCTTGTATTAAACTAATGTTGTAGCTGGTATTTGTTTTGTCACCATAAATGGAATGTTATGAGGAGGGGAATACCTAAACTAACACAGGATGCGGTAGTAGAAAAGTGATGTTATATCTATTAACTACCCCAACATCCTCGGCAGCAGTTAGCAAACGTTTTCCCACATGTCCATCCATTAGCTGTTGATCTTGTTGATAAAATGTTGACATTTGATCTTGCTAAAAGAATTACAGGTAATTTTCCTTTCCTGTCAGCTAGTTTGACATGAATTAGAAATTGATTTGATATTAATTATTCAATGTTTATATTAAATTACATGAACTACTTTCAGTAGGCACCATTAAAATGATATTGACGCTTCACTAATGAGCCTTTATTTATTTGTTTGTTAGACTGATCTAAATTTTTGATGTGTTTTCTGCTTATTTTTTTTATTCGTTAGTTTGTATCTTTATATACCTAGCAAACAGTGAACAGTTTGTACTTAGTTTAACATGTTAGAAGGTCAAGGCTCCGACCTTCTATTAATTGAGTTGAGGATGATAAGTACAAGTGATGCTCAGAACAAATTTCTAAGCATCAAGTGCTAAGTGCCTGGAGAATTGAGTTACTGAAGTTAGCTTCTTTTAGTGGATCTTCCTTCAGAACTTATACAGGTGTCAAGTGCATGTGTGTGTGAGTTTGCCAAGGCAACAGCCTAGGATGCGTCTCAGTTTCCACTCTCAACAGGCTTACACAACCAACATGGTTTGTTAGTTGTGAGTCAAATTGGTTTCACCCTGAGTAGTAGTCCTAACAACATCCCTTCCCCTTCCCCCTACCAAAAACAAAGGCAAAATGGAGAAGTTTGAATGTTTAAACGCATCTCTACGGTTGCCACGCCATTAATTTTGAAAACTCTCTCTCTTTCTTGAGTGAAACTAAATTTTCAGAATTGTTTCATGGATCAATTTTTCTATGAACAGCAACTGCACTTGAATTTAGATCCTATTTCTTGAAATCAGCTTGATGAACATAGGTACACCTTGATTTGGTTTCAATTCAATTATTTACAGTCCCATAATACCTCCTGGGATGGGGGATGTTCTACCCCAAAACCCACTAATTTAAAAAATCATCCTCACTAAGGCAAATCTTTACTTGGTCTCTTGTTCAGGGAGTCGGGGTCTTTTATTAGGAGTGCATGTTTTATAACTTCTGTTTCATTGAAATAAATAGATTGGTTTCACCCTGAGTAGTAGTCCAACCAAGAGGGAGGGAGAGAGGCTGGAACAAATAGATATAGGCTTTATTCATATGGACAATTAAGTGTGTTTTCCTGTCAAATTTTAGGCTTCATTGCCTATTGCTGAATCTTAAAGCATTGCTATTTACATTCAGGTAAAACAGCTGAAGCTGTTTCCATTTCTTTGATTTATCTATTTCTCTATTTTCTGAAATAGTTTCTATGTGTGAAATGGTTTTGAAATAATTTATTTCGGTTCTAAAATGTTTTGATTTTTGTAACATCTGTTCTTTGATTGAAATGAGTTTCTGAAATAGTTTCTATTTTCTGGAATGGGTTTCTGAAATAATTTTATATTTTCTGAATCTAAAACGGATTTTTGAAATGGTTTCCATGATCATTTCGTTTTTGACAAGAGCTGTGCCAGAGATGGAGATGTTAGAAAGGAAAGAAAAGTAGGTATTCCCATAAACCTGGGCTCCTCTGCGTGCCTCTCTCATATATATTTTTTTTCTTGGATCAAAGCCGATCAACATGGTTAAAACCAGATGAAATTCAACATACTGTTAGTTCTATTTGGTAATTTATTCTTTTTTATTTTTAATTCTCTTCTTTTTATTTTTGTTGACCTCCAAAATCCATATCCACAAATTATGCAAGTACTTGCTTCGTTGGCTACTCTTGATTGTTGTAGGTAAAATTGTGGGATTAGTCAAGCAACCAACCATTACGTGTTGCATCTAATAATCCAATAGCTGTATTTTATTTCTTTGAGATTATCCTTTTATTTTTGCTCTGAATCTTATTGTTCAAGCTGATTCCAAAATTAAGATTTTGTGGAGATAATTGGGGATTTTTTTGATAATATAGGTTGAGCTGATTACCTGAAATAGATTTCAATGGAACCTTTGTGATAATCTAGATTTCAATAGCTTAAATATTTAGGGCTGCAGGTTGTCATAATCTCTTATTATGTCAATCTTTGTGATATTCTTGCTTGCTTCTTATTTTCCCTTAAATGTCCTTGTTTTTTTTGGAATGTAAATCATTCATGATTCTAAATTCTCATTCATGCTTCTACTAAATATATTTGAATTTGCTATCTTAAAATTAATGCAGAGATTAGAACATGGACACATATCTTCTATCAATATGGATCCTGTAAGAGGGATGGCAGAAATGTTTTCAATGCACCCAGATGAACATGTGACTTGGCTGGTTGAATGCTGCAAGTTTTCAGAGCTGTCAAATACATTTTTCCTCTTTTTTTTGTTGCAGTCATTCATGACCCCTAATATTGGTACACTTCTCTCTCTCTCTCTCTCTCTCTCTCTCTCTCTCTCTCTCTCTGTAAAAGAAAATTCAATTATGCTTTCCTTAACGTGATTCAATTCAAATAAAAACTTAATCCACTTGCAGATTGGACGAAGAGTAAAACAGGTACCACTTGCATTCTACAAGATTTTGGAAGCTAAAATCTTGTTAAAACAGGTGTTTAATTGTGTTTTTTGCTTGTATTTCACAGGTATTAACCCTAATGTTTCAATTTGTGTTTTGATAATTGGTTTTCTCATTCATTTTGTTTGTTAATCTTTGTAATCTATCCAACCAATGTTTCAATTTGTGTATATATATAGATCCCTGTGTTCTTTTTAGATTTCTCTTCTCTGTTTTGGGTTTGTCTGCTGTGTAGAATTAGTGAACTCGATTAGGATGAATTGATAGAGACTAACTAGTTACTTCATGGATGCCTATTGTACTTTCAGTTTTGCCTGACTTCAGTATAATTTCTCCCCTTGTGACAGGAGCATCGTTTTATTGAGCATTTAAAATCTTGCAGTTTCAAGTCCATTGATGAATAACTTTTGTTATGGTGAAGGAAAAAATTTAGGTGAAACATCAGTATAGTGGTTCAACCTTCCCATGGTGTGTGGAAGGCAGTTTTTGAGGAAAGAAAGAAATGTAATGTTATAAAACTCAAAATTCCATTTTATTTTGGTATTTTTTTAAATTTGATAATCTATTATTTGAAGGCATTCCTACTTGATTTGATCCTCATTTGCAGAGATTTAGAGAGAGGCATTATGACTTGATCCTCATTTACTGAAATCAATGTTTTAAGGCATTCTTCCTTGATCCTCAAGCTCCAATGGCTGCTAATAGTCTACTTTGTTTCTAAACTTTAATCGGTACTCTCTCTCTCTCTCTCTCTCTCTCTCTCTCTCCCACTCTCTCTATTTCTTTTGAATTTTACTGCATGTATAACATTTGTATACATCAATGTGTGTCTGTTGAATTGTTGAATTGCTCAATAAAAATATATTGTTGAATTGTTGAAAGCTGGTCATGGCTAAGTAGATTGGATGGGAAGATGATGTGAAACTAAGTTTCTGATGCCATATAAAGGACTTCCAAGAAATTGTACTTGCAAAGATCCCCTTTCCTAACCCCATGAATAGATTTGATCTGTTAGGTTCTTTTTTGAACTGAAAGAAACTTCTACATTAATTTTCATACGACAATTTGGATTGATAGGACACAATATTGGGCCAAAAAAGATGATAGTTCAACAAAAATTTAACTGTAATTGTGAATCAATATTCTGGAAACACATATTAGATCACAGAGCTTGTTAATTATTATATTGACACTGCAGAAATTAATGTATCACTGGTATGATGTATCTGAAATCAGTTGGGCCATATCTCTAATAAAGACAAAAAATGATTAAATCACAAGTTAGTAGTTGACTTGCTTCTCTTACTTTCTTTATTCTCTTATGGTGTTGGCTTATAGTGAATTCTATCACCGAATTAAGCACCAGCTGTTACCACTGGATAGGTCAGATCATTGTCTGTTATGCAAAACTTGAGAATAATTATTCTGTAAGGTAAGCTGCTC